ACACCACTGTTACTGTTGCCACTGTACACAGAGACCAGGAAGCATATTGCTGCTACCTGCGTCTGCTGAGTCACTGGGTCATTCACTGCTGCTGCTTCTTTCAGTTTTTAGGTTATGGACCTCCTCTCACCATGAGTACTGGAGTAGATTCCTGAAGGGCCTTTTGGTCCAGGGACTTGGTCAGTGGAGGAATTATGTCTCCTGATAAACATCCTGGAGCTTAGAGTGATTTAGTTGTCTCTTTAGTGCTGTACTCTGGATTGCAGAGTCATCTGATCACAATCTAGTCAGACAAACGCAATGACCTATATCAGCCATCAAAGAGGCGCCAAATGTCACGTGATGCTGAGAAAAGCAATCCTGATTCTGGCTTGTACAGAACCTCACATTCAAGGCAGGGAAGATCGGCAGGCGGATTACTTCATTCATCAGCATCTGGGTCCTGGAGAGTGGTCTTTTCATATCAAGGTAATATGGGCCCTTTAAAACCGATGGGGGACTCTGGATGTGGATCTCTTGGTGTCCATTTTTAACAACAAGCTGGACAGGTTTGTCACAAAGTCCAGGGATCCTTTAGGCTTAATGGTGAGTTCCCTGATGACTCCCTGGGATCAGTTAAGACTGATTTACTCCTCTCTCTGAAGCTCTTACCTCATCTCCTTCTCTGGATCAAGATGGAGGGCATTCTGGTGATACTCATTCATGTGAATGAACGTGAATACAAATTATCTTTGAAGCGGAAGGCGTTCTGACAACATATCTTTCCTATGCGTTATTGTGGTGTCACCCACCAGTTGTTCCAGCACCTGAACTAAGGGGTATACCAGTTTGGTCTGTGATGGATATATATCTATAATAAGTGATAACAGCAGATACACCCACAACAGTAGAGCGTAGTATGTTGCTAAGCAAACTTTAGAAGTCTGATGTCTCGATGTGCAAGCTGTGATTGTTAGCCTGGCTTCAACCTCTTTCTGCAGTGTGAGAAGTAAGATGGCAACACCAAACAGGGGAAGCTGGGTTACAAGGGACCAAATGGTTACACACCCATGAGTTCTTTATAGGCTGAATAGTTAATTATTATGTTCACATCAACAACAGAAAGGTTGCTTTTAGTGTCAAGACATTAAAAAATGGCATATTGGGAGAATGATGCCTTCAGCCTGCTGCTGGTATTTCCTCAACCAGTGATCACTCAATTTGACTATTGTAATACTATAGCTTTATGTCAGCTCACAAGGTAAGGCAGCAGTTAAAGATAGAGCCGTGTATGCACAGCCAGGAATAAAAAACTGCTATGCAGGCATCAGTCTGTGTCAAATATTGTCTAGTATCTTAGACCAATAAGCAGATGCTTGCTGATGCCTGAACATAGATGGTACTAACAGTTTAGGGAGATAGAAAAGTGAAATATTTGTCAGGAGAAGTACAACAATATCTTTAGGAGTAATAAATAATTGACTTAGCATGCATTCACATACCATTCGCAAATGCTGTACTCTAAAGGTTAGGTCCATTTATGAAGAGAAACAGACATCGGGCACCTTTCCTGGTGCAATAAAGCCTTTTTATCTATTAAAACATATACAAGTGATAAATTGTACTCACAAAGAGAGCAACGATAAAGCATCAAAGGACAATAGTCCTAAATGGCTTACTTGATAAGATTAAGTTAGGAGGACAATGCAGAGAATCCGTTGATCGGCAAACACACACACATAAGCTGAACGCGTTTTCGGGGCACACCCCTTTCTTCAGAGCTCTGAAGGGGGTGTGCCCCGAAAACGCTTACAGCTTATGTGTGTGTGTTTGCCCATCAACGGCAGCCATTTAGGACTATTGTCCTTTGATGCTTTATCTTTGCTCACGGTGTATAGAATTTATCACTTGTATATGTTTTAACAGATTAAAAGGATATATTGCACCAGAAAAGGCGCCTGGTGTTTGTTTCCCTTATGTCTCATGCAGTGCACGTTATTCCTTGTCTGGAACTGGGCAGCCTTTTGGGATCGTTTAAAGCATCGTCCTTTGACCGTAAGGAGGGTCCTTTTTAGGCGCTGGTCTACGTGTGTGTTTTGGAACTTTCGCTAGGTCCATTTATAGTATGAACAACATAATGTTAATTTTACCCTATACCATAATTATAGCAAAGGAAAAACAAAACATTTAAGTTTAAATGCAACCATAAAATACACAACTACTTGATACAACTACTCAATTATTGCTTGTCTATAAAAGAAAAACAGCAAGTAATATGTATAAACTGTGTAGCCTTGGGCTGGTTCAGTTATAAAGAATAACTAAGGGCTCATTCAAACCATGTGTCTTGATCTTTGATGATCAGCAGTTTTTTTATGTGCCCTGTTCACATCATGCAGGTTTGTTGTATAAAATGCAGCATGTTTGCATTTTTATGCAACTCACAACAATGCATTACAATCAATGGCAACACACCACAATGCACTGGTCTACATAGAGTTGAATGGAGTGTTTGTTAACGTTCAATAAACTTAAAAGAAGGTAAACATTCCTATGCGTTGCACAGCACAATGCATCCCCGCAGTTGTGAATAAGCTCTAATAATTAACTGTAAATTGTTTTAATTTTCTATCATGGGAGGATCATAACCCAGCATTCTGTAAAAATCTCACCCTTCAGGCGTTCAGGTGCTGCATGTGGTCCATTGGCAATTTTTGTGAGTCCCTCAGGACCCCTGCAGTCAGAACTCTGTGTTTACCTATTACCCTGTAATGTGACCTCTAGCAGTCTATTGTAATGTGTCCCCAGTCTCTAATCTCAACTTGAAACCAGTGGCAAATATGTATGCAGAGCACATTTGGGTTTGGGGACTTAGGATGCATGGTAGTAGAGCTTACAATAATAGTAGGTACAGTATATGTAAGCATTTGTGATACCTCCTACTTGTAATATATACAAAAAGAAAGCATTATTTTTAGAAGATAGGTTTACTTTAAATTATGCTAGTATGCTGTTAGTCCCAAAAGTCATACATCAGAGAAGGAAAGTATCACATGACAGCTACATTGCCATAACAGCTACAATATGCAGTTTCTGCATTTGTTATTCTTTGAAACACTTATTTTATTTAGGCATGATACGTTTCACATTCCAGAACAGCAGTACTAGAATTGTTACAATTGTGCATGGGACAAATGTCAGAAAAAATCTAGTATGTTGGAAACTTTGATCCAATTGTCCATTTTCTCTACATATTCATAAAGGGGAGATAAGCTAGTGCAGCCACTAATCAATCAATGGATAAGGGTTTTTTGCATTGCCTTACCGAGTGCAACGTCCAAAGCATCTATAGTTTGTTGCCCATTACTAGGACTCCAGTTATAGAAGAGATCCTCCCTTTCAATTCAGGCACTACCTTTAGTAGTAATTAAAGAAGAACTCCGGTTACATTTTTAATTAAACCTTGCAGTGAGGCTCATTTTTTTCTAGGTGCTTTAAAAAAAAAGTTATACTCACTAGACCATCCAACCTAGCTCCCTGCTTCTGTGATCATTGAAGTGCGTCTCCTCTGCTGCACAGATGGACTTCTCCTCGTCATCCTCATGCCTATATACAGTCTATGCAAGTGTATAGAGCGGGATAATACCAGGATCCATAGAACGCTGCAGCAGAGGGGGAGAGACCCCCAATACACTGGTCAAAGAACAACAATCAGTGATGTTTAGTGTTACGATGAATATGTTAGTAATTCAATGGATATGGTGACTCACGTGTGCTTTGGATTATACCTGTTAAACAGACTGTGTCCTGACGAGTTGCAGGCCCGCGGTGGGAACCAAGCGAGATTCAGGACTGTGTTATTTTCTGCTGTACCACAGCTTGAGCGGTACGCCGCACACTGCCTATGTATGCACATTTTGACTTGTTTATGAATAAAGAGAATTAAAAAAAAAAAAAAGAACAACCTGGCTCGGATGGTCTGGTGAGTATAACTTTTTTTGCACCTAGAGACAAACGAGCACTTAACCCTTGGTTACAGGAGATGTATTCTGAGACTGAGATGTTACTCCCCCAAAATGGTAACCTGTAACACAGCTTTGTCATAAATATATGTGAGATCCTGGTAACTAGTCCCAGAATAGTAAAATTACCATTTTAGGTTTTTAGGTTTGAAACACCACTATTAGAAACACTTATTTGCTTTGCTTGAAAAAGCTAAACACATCTAAACTAAGATGCCTGTAGTTTTTTAAATCGGTATATAGGTAGTAGTTGTAATATATATAGATATATACACTGAGTGGCCAGATTATTATGACCAGCCCATCAGTACTTCATTGGGCCACGAGATGACTTCGTTGGGCCACCTCGTGACTCCACAACATGTTGCAAGATGATGTGAGGAATCTGGCACTGCACTGTTGCCCTTCCGTTGTATTGTACCAGTCTTGCCACTCTCCGTCCTGCCCTAACATTGACTAGTCGCTAACGGCCACAATTCGCACGTTCAGACCCAGATTTTCGGCTGACAGTCCAGTCTTTAAACACTTTAACAATGAGCCCCTCTTGAACATTTAACGAATTCTGCTGTTTTGCTGATACTCGCACCATGGCTCGCGCCAACAATCATCCCACATGCAAAGGCTGTTAAAACGCGTTGTTTACCCATATTTTCAGAAAAAAATCACTTCTACTGTTGTGGTAAACAACCTGCTTCCCTATTTATAATGGTCTGGTCCTCTAGCAACTTCAGCGCGAAATTATAGCTAATTATAGCTAATTTGCCTTCAAACATCAGGTGGTCATAATAAACTGGCCACTCAGTGTATATAGATCTATATATCTATATATATCTCACTACATACATACATACATAACATACACACACACATGCAGACTATATATACACAGGTTTTTTTGTAATAAATAGAAAAATAGGCTGAACAAAAGGAAAATGAAGTAGGAAGTCATAAAATCATAAGATAAAAAATATTGCAAAATAAATAGAACTGGAACCCTACCTGCGGTAATGAGCTGGCAGGCTTGGTGAGAATTCCTCCCACATATACGACATTTGGAAGTGTAGGTCTTGGAAATTCCAGAGCAATATCAGTACAAAGCATCCACAGACAGCTTCCCTGGACCAATTCATACATGGATTTTGAAGGCAAAACATTATATTTTCTCATTATCTTTTCATATTTTGGTAAGACTAGGAAATTTACTCCAAACCGAGAGACAAGGTAAACAACCGAATTCCTAATTCTATCTAGTAGGTCCATACGGTCTGTAAGAAGAGAGTTGAACTCTGGAACATAAGATAAAGGTGCTGGGGCACCAACTTCAGCTGGGTACCATAGTCCAGTAGAAAAAACTGCATACTTCACCTCCAGAATATTGGCTATAACAAATCCACACATCTCATTGGGATCTACAAGTACCAAGTCATACTTTTCCTTCTTCAGGTGTTCCATCAGTAACGTGTTACCCACCATCATATCACAGTTCTTGGAATAGTGGTCAAGAATATCAAACAGTTCTAATGCTGTAAACCTCCCAGAGAAAATATTCTTCATTTTGGACTGTAAAAAATCATCTGATGTGGTGCTGTTAAAAATCCCTGGGTATCGCTGAATTTGGTATTGACTTGATTTTGGAAAGACTCTTCCCTCAGAAGCAAGAAAATCAGTTTGATGGCCCTTATCTTTTAGAGCAATGGCTATAGTTTTAAATATATACAGATGGCTTTCAAACATAATTGGCGGGACAACAAGAATTTTGGCAGACATTGATAATCCAAGAGTGACCCACAACAGGATGACAGACATATAGGACCTCATAGCTGCAGTTTAAAAAAAAGAAAAGAAAATGTTAGAATTACAAATTTTTGCAACTACGTTTTACCATTAATTTAAAAGTCATGCAACAAATAACGGTTTATAAAGTGAAAAAGCACAGATCAATAAAATAATTAATTTTGTACTATACAACACTTTTAGGCTTTTTATGCAGCAGTGGAAATCACAACAAGATGCCATAGAAACCAACTAGAATGCATACTGTAAAACAATAAACTAAAAATCAGGTAGTTTGAAAATTCCTATATAAAAAGCTATTTAAGTATGAATTATCATAAAATACAATTTATACATTTAAAATGTTTTACTGTAGATCAGTAAATAACTCAACAATTAGTTGAACAATAACTGTTTGTTTTCTAAACTATTAAAGACAATTAAGAACTCGACAATGGTTCTCGGACAACAGTACTTTCTGAAATCACACTTCTAAGAAGCAAACAAGTGTAAACAAAAATGAAACCTCCTCTCACCCGCTCTTTTCTATTCAGAAATTTTTTAACCTACATTTTAACACAGAAATATATTCACCTACATCCATGTCACTCATCAGTGCCGTTTCCAGGTGTGGAGGGATGAGCAATCTAGTGCTGCATATTTGCCTACACTGGCTGGTCCTTGCTGATCAACCTTTGTTGAGGTTATCAATGCAGACTCCTCTTTTGGATCCAGGACCCAGCCACTGGACACCCAATAAGAAGTGTCCACATCACACAAGCAGTGAAATGGACAACCAAAGAAGGACCCCGCCTCCTGTAGACTCGGGATAGGCATGCCACCTGACCATGGATTTAGGTGAGTAAAGGAGGCATTTAGGTAGGAGTTTTATATTTTGTATGGCAGTGATTAGTTAGAGAGAGGTGGGGGGAGGAGGTGTGTCTGTGAGGGCAGCCCAAAGAGTACCTTTAAACGGGGATTACAGCTAAAATAATTATACTTTGTATCAACCTTAGTTTTAAGGTTTTCTGGAAGATCTAGTCATGCATGATGATATAAAACAGATCAACTAAATTCTAAAGGACACTCAGGAGATATAAGCAAACATAAGGATAACACATATTTCAATCTTGATATCCATTTACATTAATTAAATCACTTTCTACTTAATATTGATATAGATATGGGTAATATACAGTATTTGTTTTTAACTAAGCTCTGCAAAGGACAAAGGGCTGTTAAAGCAAATTAATAAATGGTTATTTATCTTGAGGACCACACAATTTGTTCTGTAAAAGTCAAATGTATGTAAATGTCCATACATTAAAGCATGCACGCAATTTCTAAAGCTTTAATATCACAAAACTATCACAAAACTTTAACATTAGGACAAAATGGGAGTTGTGATCCTGTTGCTGGCAATCACCTTCTCTTAAGGGTTTGCCCCTTCTTGGCCTGAACCAGTGTTGTTCTGTCACTTTGCTTTTGAGCGATACTCTGCAGTGATCCAGCCAGCGAGGAAGCAATATCATAGGAGTACATGATTAGTCTCTTGTGATCCTGTTGCTGATGAGTTTCTACCAGTGAGAGGATTGCTAATGTGACATCACCATAAGTGGTTGTTTTTAAATTTCAAGAGTTCAGTTTGGCACAAAATATATACAAATGTTAAAGGGTTATTAAACCCTCACATTTTTTTGCATATGTCTACTGCTAGCAAGCAGTAGATATATGCAAAAACTTTTTTTTTTTTGTAAAAACACCTTTTATAACAGGTTCAAACTTACCTGTGTCTTTGCCGCACGCTCCCGTCAGAACATCTAAAGAGTCCCGGGCGGCCGCAAAGGATCTTGGGGTGGGCGCATGCGCAGTTCAGATGTTCAGCCGGGAGAAGACGAGAGACACAAGGTAAGTCTATGGAGCAGCGTGCACCCGCACAGGCTCCGTGGGACATTAGAGGAGAGCAGGACAGAGAAGTCAGCGCTGGATCGGAGACCCGCACCAGCAGTGGAAGGACAGCTGAAAAGGACAGTAGAGAAGAAGATGATTAAATAAAGAGGCATGATTTGAGGTAAGTCCTGCCACTAACATTGGGTGGGGGGAATAGCCTTTAATGTCACTTTAAGCATCTTAAAACATAGTTCCATTGATTAATGCTGATTAATATTTTGCTTGGTAAAAAGGAAGCAGTATTAAAGTGGACCTTTACCCCTTTGCTAATATGAAATCATCTTACATTCATTATCTAAACAAACATATTTTCATTTTACTTACAACTTATTGTTTTCTACTTCCTGATTCTTCCTGACTCTCTTTGGCAAAAATGATGTCATGTGCCCAAGCTTTGCATCCTGGGAAGGTTACATCAGAAGTGCATTGCTGGGAAATCTCGTCTTTAATCTCACGAGATCTCAGGGAAAGGCATTTTCCTTCCCTAAGATGATGTGCATGGTCACATGTCCTATTCACATGTGCCAGAGTTCCAGAAAGTTAAGGGAGATGGATACACCTGCCCTTAGTAAAATGGCCACTGTGAGAAGAACGGGGAGGAAAAGAAAAACAAGGTATGCAAAGAATACGAAGCCTGCAATTATCTAGAAGTATGTGTTTGTAGATTGTCATTACTAAACATTTCTAAAGGTGCTTTTGTTGTTATTTTGAAGATATGGGTAAAGGTCCGCTTTAACATTGAAAATCTGATACATATATAAATGCAGGAATTATTTTGTGTTCATTTGGGTAAACATTTAATATGTAGCAAATAGGATTCATGCAGACAATTATAAAATGGGTTACGTGAAACTAGTACATTCATGCCACTGGTGTCAAGTCCAAAGCTGACACTAGAATGTAATGTGGTATGTGGGATACATATTTGCTGGCTTTGTTTAAATTTCAGACCAGAACAAATTAACTGCCTCCACTCATTGTCTATTTGCTTAAACCACAGTTTGAGGGCTGACCCACTAAATATTTCTTGCAAAGTAGGAATTTTTGATACAGCCTATTTTGTAGTAGCTCAAAGAATAGAGCCTTTACTCATATCTGAAGTGGCAAGTTTTAGAATAGGCTGTCACTTAAATGATCATAACATTTATTTATAAATGCAAAGTTTTGCACTTTGGGATCAAAAATAAGCAAATGGGTTATACAATTATGAGTATGCCGCTAGGGAAGTCGGAAATGGAGAAAGATTTGGGGGTCATTGTAGTCCATAAACTGAACAATAGATTACAGTGCCAGGTTGCTGTAAGCAAAGCTAGTAGAATCCTGTCCTGCATCAAGAAGGGAATGTTTTGCAGGGATAAGTCTATAATTTTGCCACTTTACACATCACTGGTTCGGCCTCACCTGGAGTATGCGGTGCAGTTTTGGGCACCGGTACATAGAAAGGATGTCTTTGAGCTGGAGAGAGTCCAGCGGAGGGCAACCAAACTCATTAGGGGGATGAAGGACCATAGCTATGGGACACGGCTACTAAATTTAAATATGTTCACGCTGGAAGTAAGGAGATTAAGGGGGGATATGATTTTCATGTACAAGATGTTCTATAGTCATAGCAACATTGGCAACAAACTCTTTAAGATTAATTCCGTAACAAAGACTAGAGGCAACCACCTAAAACTGGTAGAAAAAAAATTCAAACAGCAGGGGCGAAGGGGGTTCTTCTCAGTTCGAGCGGTTAGGGTCTGGAACTGGTTGCCACAAGCAGTGATTTCAGCAAATAGTGTGGAATCATTAAAGAAGCTTTTGGACGATTGCCTGAGAGACCGTAATGTACAGGGGTACAGGTACTCTTAAGAATGACATGCCTCAAGGACCTATACACACACACACACACAATAGGTTGGACTTGATGGACATGTGTCGTTATTCAACCTCAAATACTATGCAACTATGTAATTAAATATCTTACAGAGAAACTGGTAAAAATGTTTAGCCATTTTATGGTCTTTATATCCTAAAGGTGGTTTGCAGCTCACGTCTTACTTAATGGTCATGTAACACAGGGACGTGCGGTCAGGGGAGGCAGGTGAGACAGAGCCTCACCTATAATTATGGAAGAAAAAGCTGTCAGCTTCGAGTCTGATCCCGACAGGTTTTTCTCCATTCAGACCGCCTCCTAACAGGTTACACAACAGGGAAAGCCTCCCGCGGTGTAACCTGTCATGGACGGAGCACTGCCTTTTAATTTCAGGCGGCGCTGCATCCGTTTTTGACAGCTAAGTTAGGTTACACAGCAGTAGGTTTGTTTAACCTAACATAGTTAGGCAAGAGCTGCGACAGCTTCTACTCTGTATTAGGGGCTTGAGGTCTGTAGATGGTTTGGTCCAATGGCAAAGCACCATTGGACCAAGCTGTCCAATAAAAACAAAAAAAAACCGAGGACATCGATCTCAATGCCTTACCAGTAACGAGCAAGTGAGGGACAGGGAGGCTCTTCCCTGTCTCCTCCTTTCTTTCGCCCCCTCCTGTAGCTTGGTGTTGGGAGGTTGTGCGGGGCAGAGGCGGGCTGGGGGCGGGGAGTGGAAAATGCCTCACCTAGAAAAGACTCCACTGAACGTCACTGATGTAAAATAACTTGTGCTAACATAAGAGATCCACATGCTCACAGCTATGCGGAAGCTATGAGGAAGCAGGCCAGGTATTAAATGCTCGTATCAGTGCTATGGGGGAAAATGTAAAAGATTTTTAAAAATGCAGGTTGAGGGATCAGTGATAATTTAATTGTGTGGTAAAGTAGCCACTGCTCCAAGCTTGCTACCATGATGGATGACAATCGCAATACAATTTAGTAAACTAAAAGGTGAGAATGTAGTCTATCACAGGAGCGAGCTTGGAGTAGTGGCTACTTTACAACACACCGGGACCATGGTGAACAAAAGTAGCCACCCTCCAGAAGGGAGGACAGTGTCAGCACCAATTCAGAGGTGATTGAGGATCTACAGCCAAGTGATACATAACTACTACATTTTTGTAAATTGTTAAGTTACTTGAAAACATTTTTAAGGTTTAACTCCTGAGCTTAGTGTCACTTTAAAATTAA